TTTTTTTTTTTTTTTTTTTTGGTTGGGGGGGAGGTAATTAATGTGTTAATTATTTATACTTTTGCTTTACAGTTCATTGGTGAGGCCGATGAACTGTAAATTGCATAATCTCCAATAAAGATTGCATTTTGCAGTATAGAACACTAACACAATGTGTGTTGCTGGTGATAAATTGAAATGAGCTATACCACGGTCCAGTTGCTTTGCACCTGCATTTATAGGTCTTCATTTTCCTTATTTCTGATGCTCCTGTCTTGTTCACATTCAACTTGTCAAAGTTAACAGTCTTATTGTCTAATACTTTAAATCTGTGGCAGTGTTTCCGAAGCCTGTTCAGAGGTATGTGACTTGTCCCTTATTTGTTATACTCTTCTTTGCATTTCCTTAGCTGCTTAACATGATTCTGCAAGAGCAATTTAAAACCTGAATTGAATTAAGAAAGTCAGCAGATGAGGTAAACTGGAAAGTGTGTAGAGAAAATGACCTCATGCATAATGTGCTTATTGTGGCAATTTCTTAAATTCTGGCATACAGAATATACGCAGAACTATTTTGTATTTTAATAGAACAGATGAGTTTCTAGTGTTGCACATGCCTTTTCATTGCTTTTGTCATTACCTTTGACAAATGGTCTCAGGGCTCTTACTGCCTGTCAAATCAGGGTAATGAGAAGGAGCAAATGGATTTTTAAGTTTGTTTTAGTGCATTCTTCAGGGAACAGAAGATCACTTGAATTCACGGGTCACGGTAAAGGTTAGCACGTGTACCGCTGCAGTGCAGAGACAGTCTGCTCTGGGCTCAGCACAGAGACTAGCAGGGCAGGCTGGTGGCCAAAATGAGTGATGAAAATAACCAGTGCATTAGTTCTCTGAGGTTTAAACTGGTAAAGAAAGAGACTGTGGAGTTGTTTACATATGTTTGCAAATGAGAATGAAATTATTTGAACATTTCTGTTATGCTAGTGTATTAAACAAACAAAAAAAGTTTGGAAAAAATCAAATGTTTTGTACTTTTTTGTAATGTGATAATTTTTTCCCTCCTTCTAATGCTGCTCTTTCATAATAAAGTGAAACTAACAGAATTTGATAACTCTGGTAGAATTTGCACTGTCATTAATTAAAATCATTCCAATTAGCAAGAAACAGGAGATGCTCCTCTGTGGCAAAAGCCTGTGACTGATTTGAGCAATTTTATCTAAGAAATAACAAAACAAGAAAGGAGTAGGGGTGCCCACAAAGATGCTTCAGAAAGTTTGAAGTAGGCACATATTAAGGAATCTTACAGCACAAAACAAATAAAAAAGATACAGGCTTACGCATGCCAGAAACAACTAGAATCTATGTTTCTTTCCTTAGGGTAGCCACATAGTAAGGTTCAGATGGTGGCAGCAAATACTAAGAAATGAACTGTATGGGCTACATTGTACACTTCTATCTAAAAGGTATAAATGCATCTGTATCATCTAGACAAAAAAAGTATTTACAATCTTTTTCATTTAAAATAGTAAGGAGGAAGTATTTTAGTCAATAACCCTCTGAAAAATAATATAAGATAACTAAAAAGCCAGGTTTTATGGTAAACATAACTGTGAAAAAATTAATACAGTAAGAGATACAAAATATTTCTTAACTATGTATTGCTGTGCTTTTTAATCTATCTCTTTAATATTTCCTCTCCAAAAGTTACATATTAGTAAAGGTTGATATTGTACTTTAATATTTGTTAGGGTGAATCTGTTTTAGCAATGTTAATGGCAAATGCAAAGCATCTTCTTACATGTCTTGTGGCTCTAGAAAGCATCTTCTTCCCTTTTGTGTGCATAAGGATAAGTTTAAATTTTAATTTGTGGAGTCTAACTAATTTGAATCTTCCTGTTTGTTGTTGCTTCCTGAATTCATTTGGTTTCATTGGTTTAAAATTGTGATCTGATATTTGTACATTGTCTCTGCTATATGTTGTATTACATTAAATTAACAGATTTCTCACTGGTTCCTCACTGATTTTCTCACCATTCCAGGCTTCCAGGACCCTCAAGAGTGCCAGCTGCAGGCAGCAGTACCAAAGTCCAGGGAGCTTCCAATTTAAATCGGAGAAGTCAGAGCTTTAACAGCATTGACAAAAACAAGCCTCCACAATATGCAAATGGTAATGAAAAAGGTAAGGGATTAAAATTACTAAGTTTACTCTCCATAACACACAAGAAGGAAAAAATAAAACCTGCCACAAGGGTCAAAGAAAAGAATGTAGTATTTAGACTTGGTAAGGAATACCTATGGGAATTGAGGCCTGAACTTGTGTTTCATCGGGGATATAAGTTCAGATGTTATAATCATATTTTATCCAACTCTGATGAAAATATCACAGGGTGACTTGTAAAAAGTAAAAGTTAATCCATATTGGATGCCTGTAATTTTATTCCATGTAAAAGTCTTCTCTTACCCAAAGGAATACTGCCATCACTTTCAGGGGACTTGTCAACTTAGCCTCTAATGGAAAAGAATCAGAATATTACATTTGCATCAGAATGTTACATGTATCTATTCTTTTAGAACCTGACCTATTGTGTATAATACTGAAAAAAGGACTGCAAGTGAAGTGAAAATTTGCAGGGATTTGGAGCAGCCGCTGCAACAATGAACTGAGTACCCTGGGTCCTTCAGTTTCTCTCACTCTGACTCTATTTTTGTAGAAAATGTGCCTCTTCAGGCTCTATCTCAAAAAGAATAATGCAAAAATTCAGCTTTCTGAGTTGTGTAACTAATCCATCCCCTTCCTCCCCTTCTTTTTCCCTTTGTGTAATGAACAGCATTTTATTCATATCTCTGGGTTATAACCGAGTTGAAAATGATACAATATACATAGTACCCGTTTGCATCCTTGGGGTCTGTGGGAGGAACAAGTATGCAATGAATGTTCTTCAACCAAGCAACAGGCAGCTATCCAGATTTTTTTTTACAAAATTCTGATGACCATGCTTTGCCCCTAGCTGTATCTGAAGATATAAAACCATCCTTTCAATAGTTATTCCTTTATTTTTACTATCAGGATTGAATGTTTCATGTAGTTCTACAGTGGGTTTTATTTTATCGAGGACTTGTTTGTGTCAAGACATCCAAGCTAATACTAGAAAAAGAGCAGAGAAAATTGAGCACACATTGTATAATTAACAAATACAATAGTGAAGTTATGAAGCAGGAGATGTGGCTGCTAGAGTGAAGGTATGTACAGCAGTTTAGGTTTTAGAATTGCTTCATAATGTTGACATGTTTACTACTGAAATATGTGAGAATGAAATGATTCAAGGTGAGACATGAATGTAGATAATAATATTCTTAGCTCATTACTTGGAAACTGTCTTTTGACTGCTGAAGCTTGTATTGCATTGTACATTTTTGTGAATTTTTGCATGATGTATTTCTTTACTTCCTCATGTTTTACAGCAGAGAATGAGAACCTTGATGTGGTTTTTACTGAAGTCACCATTTGCAAGAGGATAGAGTGGATTTTTTTGTAAAGTCAATCAATTAATTTTACAGAAAATAGAAGTAATGCTACATATCTACTACTGTATTTGATATGTTTCCATGTGTTCTTTTTTTTCCTATCAAAATAGCAGAATGGATGAAAAATCATTAATTTTACATGATAAACAAAGATAAATACAAGTTTGTTTTAGGGTATAAAGCAGAGGTTCCTTGGAGAAAATGACTGCTGTGAATACAAGGGTATCAAAGGGATATTCTTTCATAATATCATGAAAGAACAGGAGAACCTATATTTAAGTATGCTGTGCTCCACTTTACCTAAACAGAAAAACAGCTGTAATATGCTTATATTTTAAACTTAGTTATTATAGTGACTAATTATTGAATATTACAATGAGATTTCCAGGTATTTTTAATAGTTTTAAAACTATTTTAGGATGTTGTGTAACCTGAGATTTTTGAAGAATTTGTTCAGAAACAAACTTCAAACTCTACAATAGTAGTAATATAAAATAATATAAAAACCATCTTTTTTAAAGAATAGTTACCAAACACTATTATTATTACAAAAGTAACAAACTGATATCTCCCTCCAGTGCAGCACAAATAATAGAACTTATATTTAATTTTTGCCTCTGATGCAGATGCTTGGAGCAAGATAACTTTACCAACTTTTTTTTATTAGATGCACAGTCCATATGCCCTGATTTCTAAAACACAGAGATGACTTGTGCTAATTAAATAGCTGTTAGATACTGGGACCATCCAACCTCTTCAAGGACACACCACTCTTGTTCTGTTCTCTGCTGTACACCTTCGTGTATGTGCAATAAGGAGACCTCAGAAAATATATACAGCATTTTTTTTTTTTTAATCCGGTTATAGGTAGTACTTGTAATTCATTCCTGCGTAACACGGTCACTCCGTCACAGTGGGTAATGGATATGTAGTCACAGAGTTAAAGGAGACCGGAAGGTGACCCAAAAGAAGTGATATCAGCCTCTTATTTAGTGTTCCATTATTTAGTCTCTCATTGATATAATCTCCTTTGAATGTTGGTTAGGGAGTAGTTCAACTCAGTCAGAAATCTGTCTCCCCTGAGCAAATGCAGGTTTGCTCTTTACTAACAGTTTTCACTAACATACCCAATCCATGGTGTAACACTGTGTATAGCACTGGTTGAGTCTGAAACACAGAATGCACCAGAACATTAAACAAGCGATTAGCTGAAACTTGTTTGTGGAGCTTTAGTGCAATGGTTTTTTTTTATTTTTTTGCTGGACTTTGCAGCTTACAGGTCAATTTCAAAGAACATGCATGCTTTTCAGACATGTCAGATTTATCTGCCTCTTGATTTAATAACGTAAAGATAGAAATAAAATTAGGAAAATTAAACTATTAAATGAAGTAATTATTCAGATTGCTAATAAGGTAGAAAAACAGTGCCTTTTGAGTACAGCAAATAAATAATATTCTAATTCACACTACATTTTTAAAACAAGTCTTTACCCCTTAGATCTTAGAAAATTGGAACACTGATGAAGGTCTCTATGTCATGGAGTTGTATTTCCAGCTTTTCAATATAGTTTAGTAGTATAAGATGGTGTTTCTGTTTTCTCCAAACTCAGTTTTAAAATATGTGGTTATTTTACCCATATGACCTCTGAGAAACTCTGTCCTGGAACTCTGTTGTGTCATGATGCTGATGCAAATTGTTAATCTTCTGGCCAGTATGTACATATATAGCTCATTTGTGTATGTTTCTTCTGGTGCCACTATTTTTCCAGTTGTTCCTGGTGGTACTCTCCTCTTGTGCTGATAAGGGGCAACTATTTTATCATGGACAGCTAGAAAGGAAGAGTTGAACAAGCTGAATTCTTTTAATCTCACTAGATAGAAGAACTCCCATTCCTTCAAACATTCTTACGGCAACCCCTTGCAACTGCCATTTTCTACTAACCTTTTTTATTGTGACTAGCTAAAAATGGATAATCTGGACACCTTTCTGCTACAGAATATTTAGATTATTCTAAGTAATTTTGCTGCAGTGGAGGAGCTGTTGTTAAGAGGTTGCCTTCTCCAGCAACACAGAACACAGTGAAGGTCACACACACAAAAGAAGTTGATTATGTACTGGGCCCAAGTTCAACTCTGCACATGTCCTTTATTTGTTCAACAGCCTATGAAAAGTGGATTTGAAAATTTCTATTTGATCATCATGGTCTTGCTGGGTTATGACAGAAGTTTCTCTTTTTGCATCAAACATCTGAGGGTGTTGTGTTTCTACTGTAGTTTTATAGTGGAGGTTGAGCTCTGAAGCACTGAGTGCTCAAGCAGAGTGAAAAACTGTTTTCACCGGAAGCTGACTGTGCATCTCAGAAATAAGGGATTAAGCCCAAAACAGTAGACTGACTTCTTGTAAAATTTAGTTTACAGAAATAAGAAATCCTTTTCATAGGTTGGGTTCACTCATTCTCAAAATCACCACAAGGTGGGGATAGGTGTCATGAAATGAGCAGCTAAAGCCAAGCCCAATTGAACGCACGGAAAGCAGTTGTGTGCAGCTTGAAGTAATGCATTTATACTGGAGCTGAGGGGAAATAGATCTTTTAATTCCCCATCTTTAAACATACAGCCAGGTTGTCAATGTTTCTTGAGAGCATGAAGTTCACATTCCTTGCAGAAATATTAAGGATGCCCTTTAAATTGTAGATTAATGATAAGCTAAAATTCTCTGTGATTTTTTGTTGCTGTTTATGATTTGTGACATAAGGATCAAATAAATACCAGTGGGTCCAGGAACCTGTATTTTTTTGCTATATATCTAGCAGAGCAAGCTGCTGATGAAATAGTAAGTACTCTGCTTTTTACATTTTTACCCTCAGTGAGTTCAATATTATACAGCTGGAAGTATGGCAAGGCAGGAATTATTTTTAATCAGAACACCTTTTTATTTTCTTTTTTTTTTTTGTAGTAAAACTAATAGCATGAAGTCATAAATATGTATTGTATCTAATACAACAAAATGGAGTGGCATCCCACTGTTCACAGATAGTTACATGTATTCTGTATTAGCTTTGTTCTTCTGCAAAACTCTTGGTATAGCTTAAGAGCCCAATCCTCCTGTGTATTTAGTGCAAGGCAAGATGTGTGCAAGTGCACTGCACACCCACTTTGGAGCTATCAGCCCTCTGGCTGATTCCTGGTATAAATTAAGAAAGCCTGAGGCTGCAGTAATTTCCAACAGCTGTGGTTGGCCTCAGGCTGTTTTACAGCATCTGAGGCTCACTAGAGGAGAACAGGGACCCAGCCATCACTCCTGCCTTGGTCCCAAGGGACCAGCTATGCAGCTGCCCACCAAAGGTGTTCCATGGTGCAAGATGGAGCCCAAGAAATATGCTGTAACTTCCTCTGTCACAAAAAAGACTCTGAAGCAAGCTTTACCAGTTAAACGTTTTCTTGCTTAGAACAGGACTTGGCAAAGCTGCTTGAAACCTTTTGGGAAAGTGGAAGGAGCTCATTTACAGGATCAGAGAATGTGTCAAGTTGGAAGGGACCATATTGGGTCATCTGGTCCAACTCCACTGCTCAAGCAGGGTCATCTTACAACACATTGAACATGGGTAATGAACCCCGGGCAATCTGTTCCAGTTCTTGGTCACCCACACAGTAAAGTAGTTCTTCCACATATTCGAGTGGAACTTCATGTGCATCAGGGTCTTCTGTTGTCTCTTACCCAATTGCTGGCACCACTGAGAAAAGCCTGACTTGACACCCTCTATCTATACATTGATGTATACATTGTATACATTGATGAGGTCCCCTCTCAGTCATCTTCTCTGGAGGCTGAATAGGCCCAACTCTCCCAGCCTATACTTAAAGAAGAGGTGCTCTGGTCCCTTCATCATCTTTGTCACCCATGTAGTGTTGCAGCATTTGCATACCAGGCTGAGGAGCACACAGAAAAACACTGGGCAGATAGAATTATCTAGCATCTATTAAGGTGGAGGTGATTTGCTTAGTGGAACTAGTTGCTAATAGAGTTAAGCAAGTAAAAATTTTATGTGCTGTCACGTTACTTTTGTTCAGATTTTTAAAAATATTTTTCAACTAGAACTTCTTAATGCTATTCAGAGCAGTAAATTTTGCTATGTTTTCATTCTCTTTGTTAAAGGAAAAATAGCTCCACTTTCAGTATTCTCAAAATTCTGCCTTTCCTGAATGTATTAGCAGCCTTCAGACTTCCAGATGGGTAGTTGAATCTTTACTTGAGGTTTAGGGCTGAGACTGAAAAAATGAAAACGATGCATAACTTCATACTCTGTGCTGAAGGAGAAACTGTCCTCAGCATTCTCATCTATGATATCATTCAGACAGGGGGACCCCAAGGTATGGCATGCTATGTGTATATGCAAAGCATCAAACACTTTTTTTGTCATTACACAATCTATATTTGCATTGCATGTTTCATGGGCTTTTTGCAGTACAGAATTCAATATACTATAGACCAGCTTACATCTAATTTCCCAACAGTCCCAATACTGAATGGCACGGCAAGATACGGCCACTAAAAGAACATATGTCAGCTGCTGAAATAGCTATGTACCACATGACTTGATTGCTATTACCACTTAATTTCTCTGGTGTATCAGAGTGATGGTGTTTATATACTCAGATATGTCCTGGGAATCTGAACTTCATACAGAAGAACTTAACCCTTTCATAGATTGGTCTGTCTCGGTTAATTAAGCTAGATGACAAAAATCACATCTATTAATTGGCATAGTTTGATTATTGCAGAAGGAGCCTTGTTCTCATTCATTCTGATGATCCACTGAAGTTTCTGGATGATGCAAATGTAGTGAATGTGCCAGAGCCTTCTGTGCCTACCTGAGTTCAGAGCCAAACCAACTATCATTGCTGTACCCACGCAGATGATGTATTACTGTAACTTTCAAGTACTGACACTGGTGAAATTGTTGATAATTTTTTTTCCTACCTATGAAAGTGTACTGGGATAAGTTCCTGAAGGAAGCTGCTAAATATTGTTACCAGTACTTAAAACCAAGAAATGTGTTGCCACCAGCCTTTTTTGCATTTGCGACTATTGATTTTATCCATTTAATTTCAGTATTACTAAGTCCTTCTCCTCTCACCCAATACCTTAGATTTCTAGCACATATTTTTCTTTTGCTAAACATCAGACCCCTCTTTGTCCAGTTTTGGTTTTCTGCCATAATTGTAGCATTCATTTTTTTCTTCTTCAGTGTTTTGTTATGAACAAGTGATTGGAAAAAAAAATACTAAAATATTAAAAAATAAAATCTTAACTTGGAAGGCTTGATTCACATAATGAAATTGTTGTAATGAAGATGTTTCTGAGGCTTTCTTGGACTTGTGTAAGTATCAAACACCATGATAATGGAGGAAAGAAAAGCGTATTCTATTAGCATCCTTCATGTTCCATGCACATATAAATTATGTTTATTTTAGATCACATGTAAATGTGTTTTAAATGCCAGGAAATATGACATCACCCTCAAGCAGGAGATGGGAGACTAACTATACCACTGTGTTTTTTTTCTGTTTTTTGAGCAGATTCACCAAAAGGCCCTCACCCCTCTTCAGGCATGAATGGAAATGTGCAGCATCCCACCAGCACCGGGCAGCAGCAGGTCTCTGCCATACCCTCTCCAAGTGCCAGCAAGCCTTGGCGCAGCAAATCCATGAATGTCAAACACAGCGCGACCTCTACCATGCTGTCTGTGAAGCAGCCCAGTCCCGCAACCTCCCCTACTCCAACTTCAGACAGGCTCAAGCCGCCCCCTTCTGAAGGTGTAAAGCCCCCTTCATCTGGACAAAAATCTATGCTGGAAAAATTCAAGCTGGTTAATGCTAGGACTGCTCTGAGACCTCCTTTGTCACTGAGTTCAGGACCCAGTGACAGTGGGAGAGAGGATGACAACTTTTCAGAGTGTGGTGAAATGGATGTCTTGAGTGGTGGGGTGAACAGCGGCGGCTCCACAAGCAGCAGTCCCAAAGTATCACCCAAGTTAGCTCCTCCAAAAGCTGGCAGCAAAAATCTCAGCAATAAAAAGTCTTTGCTACAGCCAAAGGACAAAGAGGAAAAGAACAGGGACAAAAACAAAGTTTGCACTGAGAAAGCAGTCAAGGAAGAGAAGGATCAGGTCATTGAATCATCTACAAAGAAGAGTTCAAAAATTGCAAGCTTAATCCCAAAGGGAAGCAAGACAACAGCAGCCAAGAAAGAAAGTTTAGTATCATCTTCTAGTGGGATCCCAAAACCTGGATCAAAGGTGCCAACAGCAAAGCAGAGTACTTCCTCCACATGTACAGGGAGTAAGGAGGTTGAAAAACTGAGGACTACAAAAGGAAACCAGTCCCAGTCAATACCAAAATCCCAGTTTAGTGAGAAGGCTTCTCCTTCCTCTGGTCTTTCTTCTTCTGAAGGGAAAGAACCAAGTGCTGCTCTCCCCCCAGGATCCTCTGTTGGTCTGTCAGCCTCGATGGCTGCAAGCAGTGGCCAAGGCACTGGAAATGGTGTAGTCCAGCTTCCTCAGCAACAGCAATACAGCCACCCCAACACTGCCACGGTAGCTCCTTTCATTTATAGGTAAGATCATGGGGAAAATTTGGGTTTGTGCTACTATTTAGGAAAGAGAGCTAAAATTGATAAATTAATGGTGGATCATTCTGTTATGCCCCAGTTTCTGTTGCAGCATCGTGCCACTGTTTTCCTAATATTATTTTTTAATTAATGTTACTGTACAAACAATTTCTTACAAGAACTCTGAGTCTTTACCTTCTACAAAAGCAATCCACTGCAAATATTTGCTATTTAACATTCAGGGTGTTTTGATTAGAAATACTGATCATGTGGTACATTCTCTGTGCTGCCTTTGAAAGGTCACAGCTGAGTCAGGTTTCTGGTGTGAATATTCTTGTTTGCATTCTAAGAACCTCATTATCTATTTGCTGTTATCCTATAATATTTGCTTAGAATTCACGATTCTTTTAAAAGATCATAAAATAAACTCCTGATGTTTTCAGAATGTGTAACAATACTGGTGGATATTTGAATAAAAAACATACACAAATTTCTACAAGTATTCAAAAATATTTCAACAGTTTGTGTAGACAGAAAAGGTTGCTGTTTGCAGTTCTTTTCCTGTTTAGTTTTCTACATGAAATAGGTGAAGATGAACTCCCTACAGGCAGTTAATTTTTACAGGCAATAGGAACTCTTCAGAGGGCCAAGGCTCTGGAAGAGAAGAATGAACAGTTGAATGTATCAACATTTCTCTGAATTTATTTTGCTATGTGATAGAGCAGTTGAAGAGAAGCTGGGAGATTGTTGTGCAACTCAAAAGACAGAAAAAGTTAGAAAGATTGACAGGCTGATTTGAATAATGTTTTCAGTTGTCAGATGTTGGAGGGTTTCAGCTACAGCTGAGGAAAAATTTAACATCTGATAAAATGACAAATACATTATTAAGCAAAATATACTGCCAGTTTATGTTAGTGACTAGTACTCTGGATAATCTTGGCTGAAGATTAAAGAGGTGATGAAGTAGGCTCTGAGGAAGTATATGTATCATTATACACAACTAAACATCGCTTCAAAACCAATCTGGATGACTTATAAATTCAGAAAATCATATGGGAGGGAGGAAGAAAAGACTCGGTATGGGTTATATTTATTCTAATATGCAGTGGAGCCTCTGGAGTTTCAATTATATGTATCACTGGATGCACTTAATAGGCATGTGACAATCTGGAATAACCTCAGTGATACAGACGATTTCTAGTGTGGTACATGGGACAGCCTACATATGTGTTAGGGTGCATATACAAGGAGAGAGAAAAAGGAGCTATGCTTTGCCTTCAGATGTATGTGCTGCTCAGTGGCTGTTTTACTACATATTGATGCCATTTCATTGCATGATGGAGATGTCTTAGTTTTGTTTTAAGCATTGCCTTGAAACAGTATGCATTTTAAATATCAAAGGGTGCTTCTATGAAGCATGAATCTTCCAGTAATATTTCTTAATAATAATTGTCTCTTTGCTTCAAACAAACAGCAAATGAGTATTTGAAGTTGAATCTCACATGAAAATAAAATTCTCAGAGCCAGTGTCTGATCTCAAAATGCCATAAACTCAGAGTAAAAAACGGACTTTGATGAGATTGCTTCAATATGTATCTCTCAAACTGAGTGCAGAATCTGACTAAGAAATATACAGTAACTAAATTTCTTTAAAATCTCAAGGGGTTTGTAATACCACACAATGATTTAATTGAAAAATATTAATATAAACAAGGATAAAATATCCAAAATTTCAAAGTCGGCATATTTATTTCTGTTGATATATGGTAAGTGGAAATGAGCAAGAGCTGGGGTGCTATACTTACATTTTTTGTTCTTCAACATACTTGTTTTCAAAGCAGTCACCACCATCAATACGCAGAATTTTCAGGTTTCTAACAGCTTTCTAAAAGCTTTATATAAGTTAGTAAATAATGATTATCAATTAGACTAACAGGGCTTTTTTCCCCAGCTACAAGGAATATCTAGGCTCTGTGAGTTTGTACTTCAGTCCTTGTAAAAAATTTCAATAAAATTTAGTAAAAATACAGAGTTATCCAGAGTTCTGCAGAATCTTGTTATATACTTGTTTCATCTATTTAGACCATTAGCACAAACATAAGTAAGCTACTTCTTTCTTGATTTGTTGCTGATACCTGCAGATACCATGTATTTTGAAATATTTTTTTGCTAAACAAGAGGCCATTACTGTAGATTTGTGAGAAAATTGAGGTATTCCAAGGAGTTTTTTTGAGACTGACATGTATTTTCTTTAAGTAATGCAAACCTATAATAGTTATTAATAGTCATGTTTTCAAGAAGTCTATATTTTTATTAATGGACTGTTTTATTGGGAGGTTCTCAAGTGGGATATTGCACTATTCAGCTTTGCAGTCGTGGTGCTTTGCCCTATCTGATATCACATGGTATTTTAATTCTTTGTAAACACCTGATGTCAAAATTCATATGGGATTATGACTTCTCTTCTGAGATTAGCAGCAACAGTCAGAGTTGCATTTGAGATTATCCAAATGGGTAAAATTTAAATTCCTCCATTCTGCCAGAAGGTGATTCTTTATTTTCAAATGTGGCTGTGAATATATTATTTACAGTCCCTTATGTGTCCCTTCTGAAGTTGACCGCTGGGTCCAACTGATGTAAGACTGAAGAAGATGTAATTTATTTGCCAGAAAACTTGATAAGACAGATACAGTAGGAACGTGTAAGAGACTGTGTAATTGTTTAAAGTACACCAGGTACTACTTAAAATTTCACATTCTGTTACTTAGACAGAATTGTAGGATACTGGAAATTGTACCATTTTCCCAAGTCCATGAAACTCATATTGAAATTTGCCTTAGAATTTAGCTGTCTTCCTAGTAGTGCTTAAATTTCAAATGGAGAAGAGTAACACAGAAGTTTAGTACTTGCTAGGCTACAGTGCAAATGGGAGGAAAAAACTACATTAATGACAAAAAAAAAAGTCCTGCTGAATATCAGTAGGAGAACATTGGGTTGTAACTGGATGCATGTACTGCACTTCAGCTTTATTTTATTAACTCCTCCAGTAACCACTGTAGGGGTTTAGTAAGTCTCTTTCCCGTGGCTGAGATACAGAATCTAAAGCTCTGAAATCCCAGTACCTGCATTGCTCAGGAATTGCTTACTGCCCAAAATGCTGAAAGTATAGAAATTGCAGTAGAGAATTAGCTGACCACTCATCATCCCAGGCTGCACTTCTATTCTGTGCATTGCTTAAATTTCCATTTTAGTTTGACATTAGCAACATCTGGAAGACGTTTCAGCAGTGTCTGAAGCACTGAACTACAAATACCAGTTTGACACTTCTTTTGTCCCTGCAGAGTAACAAACTGGTAACTTCAGCTACCTGAATATGTTGGTGTAGAGAAGATGTTGCCAGACTCTTCTCTGAAATGCAGGGTGACAGTATAAGAGGTAACAGATGCAAGTTACAGCAGCGGAGGGGCTGACTGAAAATTTAAAAAATATGGGTTTCATTTGAGAGCAGTGAAAAACTTTGTGTGGGCTGTGAAGTTGATTCTCTGTCCTTTGGCATGTCCAGGATCCAACAAATCAAGGCTCTGAGCAATTTAATGTGACCAGCCCCCTTTAAGAAAGTAATTGGACCAGATGGCACCTAGAAGATCTTTCTGATCTCAATTATTTTATGATTCTGTAAGGACTAAAGTGTTCAATAGATAGGGCAGAAAAAGGATATATCAGTGTAATAAATAAACATGTTACTGATTACTGAAACTTTCTTCCCAGCTTCATTACTACGTGGTGATTAGTGCAATTGTTTTTCTAAGCCATAGTTTCAAGGGTGAGCAGGAGGTTCAGAGCAGTGACAGATGGGAAGGAGGATATATCTGGTTTTATCTCTGGAAGTACAGTGGCATTCAATTCCAGATGCCTATTCAGGATGTTTTTATACAGGCTTAGGGAAAAAATCATATGACTCTTCAAGGATCCTTCCACCATAACGTGTGCAGAGATTCTTGAAGGCATATTGATGTCCATTTTTAATGACCAGAAGCTACTTCTGTGTCACTGACTGTGGAGATGAAATTAATTTTACAGAAAAAAACATTCTGACAGTTAATTGTGTTTGCTAATAATAGATCATGCTGCTAAATGTACTTTCTTCAATAAAGTCATACTGCAGTGCTTTATTGATTCCTGTTATGTACATTGCTGCTGTGAAAGTAAAGCAACAGTCACTACCAAAAAGTCATAGGTAATGCTAAAGATTGGTGCTCACCAATTTGGTTGTTACAAACACATGGTCTTCAGACACATCCTCCCATTTTTCCATTATTGAATTTCAAGTAATTGTGCAAGAAAAGTTTCTATTGTGGAGGTGTTAGTTTAAGAGATGTGAAGAAGTGAAGAAATTATTATAAACACATATTTGATTAATTCAGTTCTTTGACTGAAAAAGGTGTTTTCCTTCTCTTGGATTGCTCTTTTTAAATATGTGAGGAATAATCCCATTCCCTTCCAGATCTTGTGAGGCCAAACCAAATAAACTCTTTCTGGTTTTGTGTTTGTTGTTTTTTGGCTTTGATTTGGTTTTTTTTTTTTTTTTTAGAAAGGTTTCTTCTTCCCCATGAGCATCTTAGTAGCCCTTCCTTGCATCTGTTCCAAATTTAACTCACAATTCTTGAACATGGGTCTAACTGCTCATATTGGAGACGTGGTCCTGCCAGTCTGTTACACTGACAGTGATACACATTCAAGACAGCTGCATCTCAGAGCTGTTGGAAAAATGCCATCATATTCATCTGATATCTTTTGGAATGTCAACTAAAAAGCAAACAAAACTTTGATGTTATCTGTGTTTATATAAGGTTGGCAATGTTGTTAGAGACAGCCAAGTGGTTAGAGATGACTTGTTACATAGTGCTTCAAATTCTGTTCTTAATTACTCCATACAGGCTCATTTTAATCAGAATGAATAAGCTTGTGCAGGTCTGACTGAAAGAAGGATTTGTCCCATTAAGTGAGTTTGATACTCTTACAAATAAGTAGCATGTAACTCATTGGATTTGGGATAAATATATTCTTTGATTGCTGTGATTAAATTAGAAACAAATTGTCCTGTTTTCATGAAGGCTGCTTAAATTAACCTCCACTGTAGATGCACAGCACTGGAAGAATATCACTGGGCTGTCTTTGACTAAACTGAAATTCTTTTCCCTCTTCTTATATCAAGAGAGATATCAAGAGACATGCAATAATTTAATTATTTTTGAGGCAGTTGGCTGTGTATAGGTAGAGGATAGAGGATCATTCATTTAGGTCAGTGTGCAAGGTTAATGAGAAGGATCACTTAATTTGCTGCTTACTTGCTTCAAGCTTAATCTGTGCTGCAGTCCTCCAGTGATCACTTGAGTCCTTCATAGCATTAATACATCCCACTGAAAGACATTAAAGCCTGAAGTGCACAAGACAAACTTCACAATGTAATTTCCCATTTTTTTAAAAATTAGAACAGGCATTTATATTCTTGGTCCAATGTATCACAACCCACAAGGTGCCCACAGCAATGCAACTTGAAGTTTTAGGTACCCAGTGTGTACCTGGGCCTCCTTGTTCCCCAAGAACCCCAAAATCCTACATAATTTTACTTGGAAATCTTCCATCCCTAGTCTTTCACCATTCTCAGCGCTTCTGGGCTAAGCTCAACTCCAGAGAAAATCAGGGCCTTGGCCATCCTGCGTGAAAAAGCAGGACTGGTGTGTGTAAGTGCTGGCAGCCAGCAGCCCCCTGGAGACCTCACAGGAAAAGAACATTCTGAGAGACCTGTTCCCTGTTCCCTCCCTGCGGTATCTCTATTGAAACTGCCCAAGGGCCGGTGCTTTCTAATCCATCTGTGCCACAACAAATAACCTGTTGTCTCAAGTAAGCAGAACTTAGGTTGCTGCAAAATCCATAGTCCTCCATGAGATATCTGTTGTTTCATCAGACAATTAAAATCTTAATGATTTAAAGCCCTTTGGGAAAGCAAACAGGACTGTGGAGTTTCAGAGTGTGTTCACTGGAGAGGGATAGAGTGATGTCTTTTTTTCACTTAAGAGTCTGTCCTCTCAAGCATCAAATGTAAAACTACATTCAAGGTTGGCAGGACATAGTTAACCTTGCAACATGTGCTGAGCTTATGTTTCCAGTAGTGTGTGACAGACAAGAACCAAGAATTGTTTTTTTATAGAGTAGTTGTCTGTTTCTAGCATCTCAAAAGTACAGAAATTGGTAAGAAAACAGTACATCTGGTCCAGTATAATTTACATTTCTGTTTCTGAGTCAGATGATTCCAATCAATGTATTCCATCATGTCAGTACTTGTGCTGTTCTTTGGGCAGATATCTGTTTCCTGATCTATTGTTATGAATTGCTGAACAAATTCATTCATTAAATGTAAAGAAAATATTAACTGGAAATCTATTTCATAAAATCAGTTGCTATAAAATTATTTTGAGAGATAAGTCACTGTTTTTATGAGTTTTATTTATAAAACCAGATACATCACACAGTTAAATGTTTCTCTTTTAGGTTTAGTTGGTTATTGGGAACACTTAATGGTGAATTTCGAAAATTGAACTATAAATGTCACACTTTAAAATTAGGATATAAATATTTCACTAGTCTTTTAATAAATCAGAAGAGTTACTGCTATTCATGTCAGGAAAGCTGGAAGAGCTTAAGCTCTAAGTGAAGATCTTTTAAAGTTTCATTTCAAGAAGTGGCTAATATATCTTTAGATGTGTTCTTTTACTGCATAGACATGGTAGTACATGTTGCTGTTTGATGACATCATAGTTCAGCAGTTCCAGGGTAAAGTAGTTTCTACTTTAGCTGTTCCGTAAGAAGAGGCAATAGGTGTGTGTGTTTTTTATTATAATCAGTGTGCTCATGTATTTCTTGCTATTTACCTTCATATAATAGAAAGTAACTGTATTCAATGAGGGGTTCCCATTATAATTTATCCTTGATATTCACAGAAATATAACCTCAAAGCAAATATGAGCTATTTGTTAGAAAGTTAATTGAAAACCTTGTATTATCCCATTCCCCAGTGTTTTATAAGGGGCATTATCAAAAGAAGCTGCACATAGATTTAAATATCTGGGCCAAACTTCCAGCCAGCCTCGCATAAGCTTTTTCCCACATGGCCTTTCTCGTTTAATATTTCATCAATTACAAGCTTTTATTTCCTTAATGTATGTTCAGGGATGTGACTTAAGCAATATAAATGGATTCTGACTAGATCTGGTTGACAAATCCTTCAGAAAAAAAGTGAGGGAAAAAAAAAAGGCTTAAAATTTCACAGAATTAACTACAAGTTGTTTCTGCAGAGAGAGAGAGAAAGCCTATTTGCTTGTATATTTGTGTAGCTGGACTTTAAACTAGCATAATAAGAATGTGACAAAACTTATATTTTCATCCCATAGTGATATGGTTCTAGATGGAGCTGCAAGGAGAACTTTTTTCATGAACACATGAATGATAGCTAATAATAATCAATCTTCTTGCTTAATTTCAGAACTCTCTCAGAAAATGACAGTACCTCTTTACCACCTGCTGATTCCTGTACTAGTCCTACTAAAGTGGATTTGTCGTTTAGTAAGACTGCCAAACAGTGCCTAGAAGAGATATCTGGTGAGTAACAATGAGTCAGGAGAAGACTGTGAACTTCTTTATTTCCATCTGTTTCTTACTGGCAGCTTTGTGATGGGTTGAAATAATACTTCTGACCTCCAATCATGAGGGGCATTAAATACACAAAAAATTTAGGTCATGTATATTTAGTGCTTCAAATCCACTGTTATCTATTTGAACTAGTTCCTTCTGTTCAAATACCTTCTTCATCATTTTGCAGAAACTGGGTTTTGACAATCTAGGGTTTCAAGTAATTGTTATTTCATTTAATCATACTGAATGTTCCAAGAGGCGCAGTGGAAAGTCAACTTCAGAAAGTTTTACACTCTCATTTAATAGCATCAAATTAAATCATAACATCAGAACTGAGACATAAATTACATAATATATATGTTCCTTTTAATAATGAATCTGTATTCTGAAAACCAGCAAGTCCTTACTATTGTACCTCTCCTGTAAGCTGCTGCTAGAGCTAAGTTGCTGAAGGTTGTGTTACGAGGAATTCTTGTAAACATGGATTATAGTCCTTACTAGGTTACAAAGCTGAAGGGATGGGGCAATTTAGTCATATTGGAATAATTCCTTTGAAGTCAGCAGAACCATGCTGAGTTACATCAGTATTGGGTCTGGCCATGATTCTGCCTATCCATGCAAAAAGCAAAGGGTGCTACACCTCACTTCCTCATCAGGACTGAATTTCACTTCAGGGTTGTGTACAAAGGGACTCTTTGCACGAGCTGTTACTTGGGGGTGTAAGGGTTTATTTTTGCTGTTGCTTTGTTATGTTTTTCATTAGCATCCTTAATCTTATAATTTTACAAAAATTAAAGGTAATACCTTGCTATAATATCTCACTGGTTTTACCTATAGTTTTACCCTTTTACCACAAATTTTCAATATTTAAATGTATTTGTAATGAGTCTTGGTTCTTCTCACACAGGATATAACTCACTTAAAGTAGTAATTTGACACATGAGTCTAAAATTATTTCTCCACCAGAAGGGGAATCAGATTCCCAAGATTTATGGGGACTGTCTTGATATTTAGCTGACTCCTACTGAAAGAGGTTTTGTCCTGGTTTGTCTCAGTCCCTTTGGAAATTTTCTGACATCCTTTATTTGCACAGCCAGCTTCTGTGATAAATATGTCACTCTGAAACATGGTGTCATGGTCTTTATGTTAAAATATAAAAACATTTTTAATTACTCCAGAAATTGGACTCCTTGGTCTAATATATATAAAGAGTCATATTTGTATATATACAAATCAAGAGATGCTTCAAGGAATCATCCAGAGAGATGCTAAAAAACCCCCAAACAATTCAATACCTGCTGAAACGATCAAACAGAATATCATGTCTGCTGACCTTTTACTGTTCTGAACAGAAACTAAATGGCATCAAAAAGAAGAAAATGATGGAAAGAAAACTAGATACCAGAGATGTTCCTAGTCTGATTATTTGGACTCTGGCATTAGCTGTTGATTGGTATAACAGGCTTTAAAGACAAACCATGGGTAAAATATGGTCAGTGATTTGCTGTGTGCATAGAGAAACAGAGATGTGTCACTCGTATATAACTGTTAGCAGCAAAAGGAATAGATGGATCAAGTACTATATTTGCCAAATAATTAATTTTCTGTGTGGATGAACTATCACCAAGTCATTGGTGATTCTGTTGTTAGATCTGCATGGATAAAAGCTCATGTGATAGTTGCTCAGAGGAGTATTCCATGATGGATTAGCTATGAGAAAGGGAGTTAAAGGGAGTTATGAGAAAGGACAGTTAAATTCTTTTACTTAAGAGCATCTTTATTCTGATATGATCAAGGGATTACACTAGTAGTAGCAAAGAGATAGGAAAGGGTAATTTCCATGGTCTGGTCACTTATTTTCAGGGTATTAAGCAATGAATATCCAGTATCTTTCATTTTGATATTATCTTTTTCCTGAAATTGTCAACTGTTGCTTTGGGTGGGCATCATATTTGTATTATCTTGATCTTAGTTTGAAACTCAGTAGCCACCAGCCTAGCACAATATGTTCTTAAACAGTAAGGATCGGTAAGGATAATGCAAAAGAGTGAACATCTGTGTAACTCACTGAACAGCTTGGAGAAGTGCGTTCATAAAGTGCTGTCCCACCTGTATTGTGTTTCTGCTTCATCATTCATTATTATTTTTAAAGTGACAAATATTTAGAACTAAGGCTGCCATCCTCAGAACTAGAATATTTTAGCCAATATTGTTGTATAAACTGTTTCTCTACTTTCTGACTATTTACACATTCCTGTTTGTTATTGCTTCTTGGCTGAAGATTACTGCCCCCATAACCAGCCACGTTGTTCATGTCAGAACTCCTAATCCACTTCAGAGCAATATCAGCCAACTGAACCTAAACTAATGCTTTAAGCATGTCTAGTTCAAGACTTCTCCATAATAAAGACAAAAGTTGGATGCAGAAAAAATACTCTTAAAATTGTTTAGGAGTGGTTGGCCTGGCACCATTCTCCTGGTGTAATTCAGGAACCAAGCCCAAGTTAATTTCCTTGCTGTAGTGGTGAAAAATCATGTCTCTGCTTTCTGTGTCCAGCGAGGTAGTTCACATCCCTTTGCTACTGTCTGAACAGTGGTGATGGGAAAATAGAAAGTAAAGCAAGAATGTCTAGAGGGAGTTTTCAGTTCTCTTCTGCTCTGTCTTCCTCCTCTAAGGGAGCTGATTACTTTTATAGCCTCTCCTGTCTTCCAACACAGAGCTGGTGAAAGGTAGAGTGAGAGCTCAAGCCATGTGTTTGCTGTCCACTGCTTTGCAAATGATTACTTGGATTTACTTGAACAGCCCTGAGAAGAGAGTAGTGCTAGAAGGCAGGGGAGGTGGGGAGGCTGGTGTAGGCATGGACTCAGATGTGTGGCTTGTGGTTGTCCTGATAAAACTGGGCAACCTCTATATTTTTATCTTGTCACCAGTAATCTGCTGCTCTTGGTGAATATATACATGGCTTATGCCTAAAGCCAGTTCTGCATCTTGGTAGAGTTACTGTAAATATGTTACTTTGTCTCTGGAGGGAATTTGTTCTAGATGTGATCTACAGACTTTTTCCTACTTTTTCCCCCCCTTTGAATATTCCACAGCTCAGCCAGAGCAGCCCTAAGTGTTTCCACAGTGCACATGCAGAGCAGCACTACTAGAGTAGACCTAGAGCAGTTTTTAGTCTTCCTGCACACCTTGAATCCTCTCTGTGTGCACAGCTCCAGTGATACATGCACTCCCACTGAATGAGCCCTGTTTGTAGGCATGAGACCGCTGAGGAGCAGTTTTGGTGTGTTCTGTGTGTGGTAGGCATGTTGCTCATGTGACACCCAGGTGTGCAGACCTCTGTCCGGGAAATCCCAGACAGAATCTGAGTCCTCTAAATAAGGAACAATTCTGCATTCAAGTATAAACACAATTTCTTGCATGTACTTTATGTACCATTTACCTCAACAAGACTACTCAGTATCTATCTACTCAGTTTCTACAAAACTAGAATATACCTTTATAAACAAGATTATAAAATGATAATGACAATAAAGGCTAATAAAGTAATCCAGGTTGGTTGTTGTTATTCATGGTATGTCTGGGAACAAATTGTTCAGACTTTCTTACCAACTGTTTCTTCTTAAAGTAGCTGTGGTATTTATCAGCTTCTGCAGCAGGTTTATTGGGGAAGTATGTCAGCAAGTTAATTAGTTAATAATCCATTGTAAACTGTACATGTCAGTAAATACAAAGTATTATTTTATGAAATCAATGATAACATTTGGCTTTCACAAGTGCTGGCATGTTCTCAGAGCTTAATGCAAAGTGTTTGATTAAGTAATTATGCATGAATCTATAAATATTGACTAGTTATTTGAAATCTGATGGATGAAGCAGAAATGAAACAGTACTTTTAAAATTATAGGCCTATCTCAATGGCAGGATTAGCATAAAAACATTCAAATTTAAATATTTTATGTTTATTGTGCTTAATTTTTTGTTCTCTGAAAGAAATAATTAATACATGCAGGGATAGTTTACTTTTTTTCAAGTAAGCTTAGCTGAAGAGATGCATAATCTTATGCATTTCCATATCTATTACATAATTCATTTGTAGGACTCTAAACCATCCACTGAGACTTCAAAGAAAGTCTTATCTGACAGCAAAATTTGCCCAAAGATTATTAGTTCTTAAATTAATTTTTATAATTCCTTTTATGAAGGAGACCATAAAAATAAAGTAGTATGTTACACTGACTGTGATGGATTGAGGAAGTTCCCTAAGATGTTCTTGATGTAAACATATTCCTGCTTGGTGGGTGGAGAACACACTGAATTGCAAGGTAGTTGGGGAATAATGCTGTCATGACATTTGCTCTCCTCTAGTCTCCTATACTTTTTTCTTACCCATAGAAAGATGTATTTTTTGGTTGCTATATCTAAACATTTGTAAATGGAGAGCTGAGCTTTAGAAAGTTATTTTTCAAGAAATAAACCTAAGAACTTTCCACATTGCAATTTTATGTTTTGGTAAATGACACCCTGCAGAGAGATGTGGTAAAGTACAAGGATAAATTCAGTTGTTTCTACTGAGTACTTGGTTTAAGATAAATAAATATCCATTGTATATGGGGATGATCACAATGGCCTGTCAAGCAAGTGAGGCAATGGAATTAGTGGGAGAAAAGTTCATATAACTTTATAATTTTATGAAAAGATGTAGTAAAATGTCTGTACACAGGAAGGCTGAATGAAGGTTGTGTGATTAGCCTCAGTATCTCTGTATAAAAGCATGGACTCACTGTGTTTTCAATGTATTTCAAAATGAGGCAGATGAATGCTGCAGCTGCCAGTGGCACATCTCTTACACAGTCCAGGTGTCATTCCCTTTCCAGTATGATGGTCTGTGACCTGTGTGCTGCTGAAGCTGGGCTGCAATGAACAGCTCAGCTGGTCCCAGTAACATGTCAGCAGAGACACTGAG